GTTTGAAGTAAGTTTCCAAGACCCAGGTTCTCATCACAAATGATGAAAGTATCATCAATTTATCTCTTGTAAAGATGGAGGTCAGTTATAGTCGATGACAAGATGTTGTTTTCGAGGCTAGTCATAAAACAGTCGGTCAAGAGGGGTCTCAGTGGAGAGCCCATTGTTACGTCATCTGTTTGCCTGTAGATTTCGTCGTTGAACCTGAAGTAAAAGGTACAACGTAGCAACAGCTCCTTTAGATAATGGATCGGTATGGCGAAATCTATGCTGTTGCATTGGATGCAGTCACACAGAAAACACATGGTTTCTGTCAGTGTAACATTGGTGAAGAAACAAACAACGTCTAGGGAGACCATTTCTTATCTGCGAGGTTGACACTTTTAATTAAACTGACGAAATCAAATTTTTTCACCAGGCCAAGAACTACCACCAGCCACTTTGCGATTAGCGGATATGGTGAATTAGCCATATTTAATATTATGCGGAGTGGGACGTCCTTATTTCGCACTTTGGGTAGTCCGTACATTCGTGGCGATGTAGAACCAAATGGACGAAGTTGTTCATGTAGTTCTGTATTAGTAATTGATTCAACTTTCAATTTTTTCAATGATTTGATTAGCTGGAACTCCCTCTGTTCAGTTGCATCTTTTTGAATCGTCTGTTTTTGAAATTTGTTGTCATCAGATAGCATTAGCGAGAGTTTCTTCACATAATCTGACTTGTTAAGCAAAGCAATTCCAGAACCTTTGTCTAGTCGAGTTATTATCAGGTTTTCATTTGATTTCAATTCTTTGGGTTGCTTTCAATGTTCGTTTGAGAGGATATTGTGAAGACTCAGTTTTTTGTTGATGTAATTGAGGCAGCAGTTCAAAACAGCTGATTTGAAATGTCATGAGCTTTCATATGAGATATGGACTAGATCATTCGTCTAACTAATCAAATTCTCGAACTGAACTTTGGTGTTCAAGTCGTTCATTTTCGACGGTGCATAACAAAATTTTGGTCCAAGCGACAAGAATTTTATTTGAGTGGGCAAAAGTGGGACATCAGAATAATTGAATACATATTTCTCAGGACAAGACGGAAAAGCTATTTACTTGGTGACGGATTTTAGGCTCTGCTTAAGTTTCGTGATGATATCATCTTTTCTCTTCTCTGTAACTGTATCGGCGTAATGCTCGAATGACGTGCGTTCATCAACAGTAAAATCGTAGAGAACCTGGGAGCTCATTGAAACATTCTGTTCCAGTTCAGCTAGTCTGGATGGGACGGCATCAATGTGATTCTAGGTGTGTCTTCTGAATGTGCATGAATTGGGAGATATGTGGTTTCGTAATTTCCATAACTTCAATAACTTTACTTCTCTCTCAGTGTAAGAATTACTGTTGCGGAACACATTTGAGTCTTAATTTTTTTTATTTTGATTACAGCTTGATTCCACACCGTATGTTTTTTAGTACAAGTATGGAATTTTCAGTATGTGATATCGCTAGCCCAAATTTAGCAGGCCGACCATAGATATCAGGTGTGTGTCGGTGGAGGATCGAACCTCGGACCATGTGCATGGTCGGCGAGAGTCCTAACCACTGTGCCACCGACGAACAGTATGATATAACAGCGACACTAAGTGAGGCTCTGTATGATAAACATTAAAGCAGTCTTATTTAGGCCAAGATTTCGCAATCAACAACGTATCGGTAATAAAACCATCAACTCAATAACTTGATAAATCAGGAGTTTAATTTCGGTAGAAGGTATTTTTATAAACATTTTATTATCAAACGAATTCGAACTTCGTCAAGAGAAAACATCTATGTTCGACAGTACCAATTTCAGAAACATTACAAAAAGCATATGATAGTCTCATCATATTGTCTAAATTAAAGGCTTTATTTCCTACCAATCCAATAATACGTAACTGTCTAGTAAGAATCCTAAGATAAACAAAGAGGAAGCAACATACTTTTGATTTACAGTTTTTGTCAGATAAAATAAATCAATGAATTCAATAGGCAGTTAATACTCCTGAATTATAGAAAGAAAAAATAAGGCGAAAAGTCAATTCTTTTTACGAAAAGGTCTAGGAAATGAAAAAAAACCATAAAATCTTTAAGTACTTCATGAAAATCTGTAGTGTTATTGAAATTCTGATATTAAATTAACACTGCAAAAATTTAGTCAAATCCCATCTGAACGACTGTGAAAGTCAGTTAATTCACAGAAAATACAGCTTCAAATCATTTTTTTACTGGATATATACAAGAGAAATGCTGAGACACAAATCCCCGTTACTATACCTGTACCGATAGAGGATAAGGCAATTGTGAATGAACTATATATTATTAAGAAAAAATGCATCGTATTTCTTGATTTTTAACCAAATTAAAAAGTCGGCTAGGTCAGCGGACAATAAAACTATTCGAAATGGTTGGCGACTGGCCCAAGGTTAAACAACGGGACGAAGAATCTTCCAGTCGAATTACTTCAAAACCATAACATAAACTAAATCCAGATTTGAGAAATAAGCACTTCTACCTCCACAGTCAGTTGATTTCGGCTTTCGACCACTTCTGATAAATCTACATCTACATATCTCACTCCACACACCCAAATGTTTAACATTAAGATTTACAATAAGGAGGTAGAATATCCTCAAGAATCAGACACTGCACTGACAATGTTACACGCTGAAAAATAAACACACATTTGTGGTGTAAATCTAGCTACAGTGAAGTACTAATCGCTCCTTTCTTTTAAATTGTACAAAAAAACTGATTCTTTGCATGACAGGTACTGTAAATCAACGAGAAAACCTCTACATCCGTATATTGCTTATCCGTTTGAGGATGACTGTGGCCTTTAAACTTTTAAGGTTTTTAATCCCATTGCATTCCGAATAGGACATAGGGCTTCAAGCTTCACTGACAATGGTGTTTAGTATTCACGGGATGTAAGTACTAGTCTTGCGCAAAACCTTACCTCTTTGCTGGGTTAACTAAGGTCTAGAAGTGAGTCAGCAGAAGATCGAATCCCAGACGACCTGCGATGCGTGGTTGACAAATATTCTACTATTGAACTACCAACACAGACTTCTCAGTAAATACGATGAATTACATGATTCGCTATAACATGTTTCTTCAAATACTATCACTAATGGCTATTTGATAATAACAAGAAAAGCTGCTGACACTTATCAAACACTGCCAAATAAGCTTTACTTAGAACACAACTTGGGATAAAATTATTGGCCCGCCACTCTGTTAACTACTTTTAGAGTAGATGTACTGAGTAAAACGGTACTTTATAAGTAGCACTAGATAACGGATTTCAAAAGCTATCTAACAACAAGACGACTTAGGCACAGTTATCCTCAAAGACAAATAAAATACAGTGGAATGCTGTACTTCTTCTGTTGAACGCCGGAAAATGATTGTAAAAATCAAACTGAATTTTTACTGAAATAGTGAAGGCGTCCATCATATTTGTGGACACTAGAATATGTAGTGTGGGACAGTAGCCGCGTCTGTTCGATTCTGTAGGAAGATTACTGGAAGTTTGAATATAAATTCTTCAAGCACTGCAGAGGCATAGATCTACAATCGAAGCACCACAAACGCGTAACAGAGTTAAAAAAGATAGTCTAACGGCAGCATGCTTGAGATAGAGTTTCATAATGTGATATTATATTGCAAGTAAAATCCCTTGTAAAGACGGTGAACCATCTTCATTTGTTGATAGTTAATAATAGTATAGTAATCAGAAAATCATTGCTTTAGAGATATGGTTTTCACGCAAAGATTTGTTATGATTTCATAAAAGACGTGTAAATTAACCACTCCAGTATATCAAATTATTAGATTTCATCATGAACCAACATCAGTTAGACAGATTACTGGGAACCGTCAAGCGCTGGAATGATCTTTCGTTTTAATTTGGGACTCTTCATCAGTTCGCACCCACAATCCCATAAAGGATTGAACCTAACTGATGGCCACTGGATAGACGTCCTAAAATCGTGATGAGAAGTGATCAGAAGTGGGGTGGATGCTCATCGAATGCATCGGTTAAGCATAGTGATATATCACGAAATGATGGAAATTACATTTTATGGGTCACTGAATTTCAGTTCAAGTGACTGAATGATTAACGAGCTTGATCTCATAATCTGAAGTCCCCGAGTTCAATCCCCGGTGGTGTGTCATGCATGGGCAAGAACTGCTGGAAAGTCTCAAACTAGGAAGAAACCGTTGTCAACAAATGCTTTCTGCTTTTGACTGATCTGTTTAGCTATTGTTGGTTCTTGTCGAAATGCAACAGTTTAAACTAAATTTAATTTGAATCCCCTTAAATCCAGTAATCTAGATTTCTGATCATTCTCCCAGTACTACATAAGCAACTATGTAAAATTTATGCAGAAACACCTTCAAAGTAGGCTAACAGTATACAACATATTTCTCAGTCATCTAAATACACATAAAATTATGAACAAACTAAAATTTGAACACAGAATCAATCTAATCTGGCTTGAACAGCCTATATCCTTAGAGGCTTAGAAGTATGATGGAAGCAGAGCATAAATACGTGATCAATCCATGCCCTGAAAATAGACATCATCATACGTCACTGCCTGAGTGTAAAACTCAAATGATAGTAGACATTAGTAGGTAGTACACACACACTAAACTAACATTTACACATACAGAAAGAAGTGGTTATGAGTCTTTCTTTGCCCTGGTAACTTGGTATTTTCATCTCTCTTTCATCTGAATGCGAAATGCTGAAAAGTTTCCATTGTGTATGATTATTATTGTTCAGGATAGTGTTTAATATTATATATATATATATATATATATATATATATAAAATTCCTGTATGCATATATTGATCGATTGATTTTTGTTTAAACTTAACTCTGTGCAAGTATGTTAAAATTGTTGTTGTAGATATATTTAATAATGCCTTTGCCCTGTAAGCAGCTGACGAGAAGGCAACGAAATAAATGATGGTACCACTTTATTCTGAGAAAACTGTAGTTCTTGCTTTGTTCATATTCATTAAGGGGAATAAATGTATCAAATTTTAAAAACAGTTAATGCTAACCAACTGAAATAAATCAATAAACCAGAAGTACTTCAGAAATTATTTTATTCTACAAATATTAAGCTGTTTTTCATCAACAAAAATTTTGATAAAAAAACAAAAGAAACTTTTTCTTGTGTAATATAAATACCCTTCAGAAGGGACAATCAGTTCTGAAGGTAACTAGGTGTTTAAAAATAGAAAAAAAGGGGAATATTAAGAAAGTAACTCATAAGCTGTACAATTTTTATGTACAAGAAAATTTCAGGAGGCATTTGATTTTTACCATAAATAACAGCATAAAAAAATATTGTGAAAAAAGCAATTACAATACAATATGTACAAAATACAAGAAAATCCAACTCATATATTTAGTCATCTAACATAAAGCGTTTAATTGCTGTTTTACGGCGCTTAGATGGTCGAATTCTACAATCATCATCGACATCATCGTTCTCATTATTAGAGTTATTATTATTATTGTTGTTACCCCGTGAGGTAGTTTTGGGAGCGTTGGATTCATCACCGCTTTCCTCATCAACTACTACCACCTGTAGTGCACGATCTTCGTATTCTTCGTCGTCGTCATCATCATCATCATCCTCCTCAGTTTTAGTACATTCTTCATTCAACTCTTGACGGGTTGCAGTTGCTGAACGTTTACTTACTGGTTTTCGATCTTTCACCATTTCTGAATTAGTACGTTTCACCCCACGTGACTTTGATTTGTTTGTAGATCGAGTTGTTCCACTTCTTGTTTTCTTACTTCTGGCTGATTCATTTTCGTCTTCAGATGAACAAGACGATGAATCACTAGTCAGGGATATGACTTCATTACAATCAGAATCGCCATCAAAAGTGTTCATTTGAGTCTCGGATGGATTTTGGCGTTTTGATGAAGTTGAACTATTACTACTATTATTTGAATTTGTACAACCCTGTCGTCTTTCCGCCTATGAAAAAGTGGAAAGACAAGAAAGTGAGATTATAACAACAAAAAATGTGATAGCAAGTTTTACTAAAGAAACCTATCAAATGAAGGCATAGATTTCTAAAGAAGGGGAAATTCATGTGTCTTAATAATGCGCTGTGGGCAAACATTGAAGAAAAATTATTGCTTTTTGTTTGTGGTTGATTCCTACTCTTCATGTTCCACCTAACTATTGAGTAACGATGGACTGTTAATAACAAAGCGTTGTTTTATGATCGGGATTCCGTTTGGACGAATTCAATCCTGGCAGCGACGCCAAATGCAACAACAGAAGACAAGGGCCAGCAACAGATCGTTTTATTACGGAAATCAGCACGTATTTATATGTATTTCATGTACATTATTATAGCTTATCCAAGTAGACAAACACAGTCTTTTGATTGGTTGTTTCTCGGAAAGTAAAGCAGACAAACGCAGTCTTCTGATTGGTTGTTTCGGGTTTCTCGGAAAGTAGAGCCACCTCTCTGCGAATCATATTTGCTCACGTTCAAGTCTGTTGTGATTGGTTGTTGAATCAGCGTTGTTCATATTTTCTTACGGCCAATATCAGTGACCTAGACATTGACGTAGATTAATGTCTACCAATTGGTTAGCAGCCTGCTCTCACCCCACAAGGTCACGCAGTGGAGACTATTTAGCCTTAAACAGTTAATGGGAAATCTTTGGCTCTTCCCGGCGAAGTTTCGACCCCACCTCGTTGGAGACATCCCTTTCGATTCCCAGATATCGCTTACGATAGTTTTCAGTTAACTTATGTTATCGTATAGTACTTATTTTGTACATGAGAAATATTTAGATGGTATAGACCTTTAGAGGGATTGTTGAAGCAATTTTTCGAGTTCTTGATGTTTTATTATTGTTTGATAGTGCAACAGACTAATCACATGTAACCATCTCTTCCCTACAGTCGAGACATATTTTGAGACTATGAGCCACTGGCGGAAGTTTGACCAGCTATAAAGAAGAACTCATCGACTGGTCCCATGAGTTCAGACCCAAATACTTGGGGTTTCGGTCGTTACGATGCACTGGTATCTAGGCCGCAGCAGAATTTGAACCCATAACTCATTAGCCAAAATTCTAGATCTTAAACCATTAAGCCAAACCAGCATAAGTAAAAAACTAAGTGACTGAAAATCACTAGAAGTTACTTTTCGTATAAACTGGTTATGTAGTCTACATTAAGCATCACAGCGTAGCGATTTCTACACTGCAACGAAAATAATACAACATATTATTATATAAAGCAAATAACAACTTGCTAGACAAGCTTACTTCAGCTGCCCGACGTGAATCCAAATTTCGAAGGCTATGACCACCCTTACCAGTAGGCTTCAGCCTGTTTGTTGTGCCTTTCTTTACTTGACCTGCACCTGTATACACATCGCCATTCATAAGACCAGATGTGTTAGCAGAGTTTGACAGAGAATCTTTACCTTTTGACTGGTAACCACTTTGTGTTGAAGGAAGATCTTCAACTAGTGCTAATAAATCTGAAAAACGATCTTTGAGGTTCGGAGATAATTTCGGTGAAACTGCCAACGACTGGAGGGAAGACTGTATATCGTCGTCTTGAAATACTGAAGACAAAACCAATGGTATGAGAGAATCAAAATGCAGATTAGAAAATCTGAGCAATCATAAGAAGCTAGTGTAATAAAAGATGACTTGCAATGCATTTGGTTGAGTAATACAATAGTTTATCACTTAAGAAATACAGTTGATTTCACCAAAAGTAGTTCATAGTATTAATCTGAAGAATAAATCAATAATTAAATAAAAACCTGTATAACTAAAACTCGAAAACTGCAAAATATCTAAAACCCATTTAATAAATTCTGAGTCTGAAACTTAGTTTGTACATACAAAATACTGCTAATTTTCATAGAGTAATGACCTTTCACACTGAGTCGGTGGTTCAGTGATGGAATATATGCCAGCCACCGGCACTTGGTCCGGGTTTCAACCCTCGACAGACGGTATCATAAACCTCGCCTTCCTGGTAGTAAGTCTGACAAAGAAGAAAGGTTGAGCGTGAGGCTAGCAACCAGACCACGTAAAAAATAAACACCACTGCTACTGAAACTTTAAAGCTCAATCTTAAATCCCTAGGTTCCATCTGGAACGCAGAGGAATAAAATAAATAAATGATGTTTCATAGGCTCATACAGAGTATTCAGCTTTTTGTTTACTTTAAAGGCAAGACACACAGCACTGACTTCCATTTGAAGTTGAATAAACTATCAAAGAAATCTTACTGCGCAAGATCACCCAACGCACCAATTAGCATGAGGAAGTTCTGCTTTGTTAATAAATAACTATCAAAGAATATTTTTTCAATAAATCTGTCATCAATCTCTATACAATTTATATGACTATAATAACTAAAAAGATGATTGTTATTAACAACATTAAATTTTTAATTAAATAACAACGAATTTTAACGAACCAGTAATTTGTGGTGCAAAAGCATCTGCAAGTGATAACATGGATCAGTATTCTTTTCTATTCCCTTACGTTCCCAGTGGAACATAGGGCTTCAAACTAGAGGCTTGAAATTTCTATAGCAGTGTTTTATTTTTAGAGGATGGGGTTGCTAGCCTCATATTCAACCTTTCCTCTTCACCAGCAATGTTTCTGGCTTGGCGAGGTAAAGGAGTGCGTCGGCCGGGCACCGTGGTCGGCGAGCACTCTACCGCTGTGCCACCGACGCACTACAGAACAGTATAACAAACACTAAATTAAACATCAGATAAATTAAAGAAAGTAATACACAATTTATAAATTTGTAGGTTCCACTGTTACTACCCTGGACTACTGTGGAACCTACATAACTAAAAATTCTACATTACACTCCTTAATTTACCTGATGTTCAATTTAGTGTTTGTTGTACTGATGTATATTATAACTTCTGGATGCTTTTTTACTGTGATTTATCGATTTTTTAGGTCCGATGTTATTTAATTAAAACACTAATGTTGTTAATAAAAATAATTTTTCATTTACTACGGTCATATAAATGTAGAACCTGGTGAAGGGGAAGTTATCGAGAAGAATATTCTTTGTTCACCTATCATCAGACTTCTAAAATTTTTAATAGGCATCTTCAATCAAATAACTATTAATTATAAAAGTAAACCAAGTAAACATATCCAATGTTCCCGATAATCCAATTAACTTCACTACCTACCTACTTATGAGCTACATCAGAAAGAATCACAAGTATAAGTGTATGTCCATCTATCACAAATTACCTTAAATTTAATCCCTGAAGCAGATTGAGTCTCGTTCAAATTCTAGTTGAATTCCACTCAACGCATTCAATTAAATTACGTCACTCAATTTTATTTTACTTTCTACCCAATTAACATTTTTACATTATGTGATTTGTTATCTAAAATTTACAATTCTAATGACACACATCTTTGGAAACATTCATTTTATTGCTGAGAAAAATTTACAGCTTGAAAATGACATCGCCCGAAAAGGGTAACTCTTCGTTGAACGCCTTTTCTTTATTAAAGAAGAAGTAATTATAGACCAATACTAAACTATGGTATAAAAGGAATAAATTTGTCTGCATTACCTCCTGACAGAATATAACCAGTGTTTCACAAATCACTAATTACAAAGTTTAAATTATCTGAATAACTAAGCTTGTAACTGTTAGAATTTCGAAAACTCGTACATACTCAGATCCTTTGGTTGAGTTTTATTCTTTTTTTGGAATGACAATCTGACCTTTATAATGGAACTCAGTAAAAATATAAGATAAAATTTACTTTCGTATATAGACATCATTAAATTTTCCTGAAATAGGATATAATATACAAGACTATAAAAGAGCCTTTTATACATACAACTCACACGAGATATTTTTACAATTTCTTCGAAGAGAATCCAAGTGAGTAAGAATAAGTGAAAGATCTACACAATTCTCCGGTGACAGTTGATTTCTGTAAATTAATATAAAGCGACAAAAAACACGAACATGTGCAGAAGTAACAAGGTTATATTCAATAGTTCAATTAAAAGGAGTGCAAGACATTAAAAAGTGAATTTAAAAGAAATAATGGAACACTAGCGTGGCATAACGGTTAGGACGCTCGCCGATCATGCACATGGTCCGGGGTTGATCCCCGGCCGACGCACTCCTTTATCTCACCAAGCCAGAAACATTGCTGGTGAAGAGGAAAGGTTGAACATGAGGCTAGCAACCCCATCCTCTAAAAATAAAACACTGCTATAGAAACTTCAAGCCACTAGCTTGAAGCCCTATGTTCCACTGGGGAACGTGAAAGGAAAAAAAGTAACGATTTAATTGTGGCATCTAGTATAACAACATACAACCAGTTGGACAAAATATTGCTTACGGAATTTTAACGTCCCTTTTTATTTGAAATACAAACTTGGTACAATATGAGCACCAAAAGATAGATGCGCAACATAACAATGTATGAAAACATTGGGAGAGAATGAGTGGGAGATGTCAGTAAGAAAGGAAGCAAACATACTTGTCTAGATCATTCAACATTCATCACTTCATGTTATTTTCGGAAAGCGAACAAAACAGGAAACTGCAGCATGTTCGTCAATGATTGAGACTCTTCGACATATGTGATATAACGTTTCGAGCCAGCGATTTGAACGTTATCTCGGACCGTAATCAGTAAGTCGTGATGCACTAACTATAGTGACCTAACACAAAAATCTTTCATCCCAAGGTGCCACGTCATAGGCTGACAACCTCTTGGCTTTTTCCATCCAGTCTCAGAGATGATATTTGTAGCACATGTCGCAGCCACCGAAGCCGGCGTTTCCACATAAAGGTAATCAATGAATGGTGATATTCACCGTGTCCCGATATACACTGTCGGAGCTCACAATTACTTACACGATGATGTCATAGGAAGCAATCAATTGTAAAGAGACATCGACGATCGAATGCAAAGAGTCGCCTTCAACTCGGATGCCAGGTTTCATAGGATAACAGCAACTGCGTGAACCTAACCTTTGACAGCTAGGCTAACGTCGCGATAACCGCAGAGGTGACTCAAATTACCATGTCACCTTAGATTTCACTATATGGTCAGAGATCTCGTTCGTTAAGCCTTCTCAAACACTTATATAGCTACTTAGATACACGAATTTGCCAAGAACTTAAAGCAGTTCACCTGAAAGTGTGAGTGCAGGTAAAAACTCCTGGCGATCCTGCAACAACACTTTGTACTTAGGCGGTGTCAACGACGTCAAGAAAAAAGGTTAACAGGTACATGTCTATCGAAGAGTAACAAAGATTCTGAAACCAATGCTTTTTCATTCAATTTAGTTTGATTTTACTTGTACAACAAAAGTGGCTAATTACTGTTAATAACCTCTGACCTTGGATCATCATAAATTACACTACTGTTATTACCATCACTACTGTGATAACCAATATTAAATATAAATGATACAATGTACCCGGTTAAAGTCATCAGGGAGTTGAACGAGTCTCTCACTATAAACAGTAGAATGACGAAGGGGCAGCATACCAGTAATTTTAACGCTGGATAGTACGGCAGGTTCGCACGTGTCTGAGTCGTATTTCTTTAAAATTTATCCAACAAGTTACGATGGGCCAGTAGATATCAGCTTATCCTAATTATTCGTCACACAATAATGGTACTACAATAACACTCCAAGATGATGGTGTTATTTGGACGCAAGTCTTTTTCGCAACTGAAGACATACTACTAAGCCATAGAACTACACAAATAGAATCGCCAATGAATGCAGATAAGATTCAGAAGGCATAGTTACAAAATAACTCCAACTGCAAAAGGCAAAGCTTGACAGAAATGCACGTAAAAAGCACTGTAGAATCCATACTTTGGAAGACAAGATTTCTTCGAAGCTACTTGATAAATCTCAACAGATACAAGATAAGGATAAACACCAAGATCGAAGAGGGTTCGCTGATTTGAAACAATAGTGAAAAGTGGTCGTATGGACCAACTCCACTGAAACTCTTCCTGTAAATTATTCTCATGATACTGACAAACCGTATAGCCACCAAGCATAAAAAACATAGTGCCACTACCACTTTCTTAGTAATAGTATACACAGTCCTTAAGACAGCATTACTACTTTAAGATGTACACTTTAACACCAGATGCCTTCCAACAGATTAACAATGTGAAAACGCCTAAAAATAATTGACTGAATATACAAGATGTCATTCATAGATGAATAATAGGAATCTCATTCAATTATTTCTAATCTCATATCATGAAATGCTCCAACACCATGGCTGAAAAAAAAGAAGTAGGCGAAATAACTTTTAGGCCACAACACATACATCCAAAGTGTAAAACTTACTTTGAGGTACTGCTACGACGCCTTTCTTTACACTCTTTCATATTTTGCCCACTATTAGTTGAAGTGCCGCCACTAACGGAATTTGAATCTTTAACTGATGCTAAAGGCGTACTGATCAAGGAACACAAGATGTTTGAAAAACGGCCAGAATGTTGATTATCTGGACAACTCCAGAAATGTAATGCTGTCATCGATAATAAATCATTAGCACTACGACGAGATAACAAGGCACGAACTAACTCAAAACTAGGCCTACAAAGATAATTTCAAACAAAAAATCACAAAATATGATTCGCATGTTTTATGAAACTGTGGTACACCTTTTTTTATAAAAAATACACTACATGAACAATGACATTTATTTTAACTACAAAAATGACGTCAGCGCACAGATCTGAATTACAATATTTTAATAATCATGTAAATGAATAGAAATCAAAAGCATAAGTTGAAACATAATAAACAAACGAATCAAAGAATTTCTAATTCCTGAAAAACCCAACAAATACGTTTTATTATCTTCACAAAGTAAACCAATGACGATTTGTGGTCTCAGTTTCCATTACAAGGTAGTTAGATGGCTTCAATGGAACTTGATACTAAAGGTAAGTATTTCCAATGAATAGCAGGCTGTAATATATTTCCCAACCTTGAATATTGCCAAATTGTAGATATGTGCTCTTTTAACACATCTTCTTTACCTGCTTCCACTTGTCACGTGAATGAATATTTGGTGACTGCCAGATCATTACTGCGTTGGAGCTTCATAGAGTAGCTATCCCTCAGTACGCCGAACTGTTTGGTTTGTTAATCCACAGATTAAAATTTTGCACTACACTTTCAGAGATTATTCAGAAGCTTTCGACCCACTGAGGTTTATTATAGGTCAGTATTGTGCCAGTCAACCATTCGCCAGAGACTACGGAAGCCCAGTAAACACCGAAAAATTATGAGATATCATTACCAATATTAGACTATGTTCGAAACTTGACGCAGTAAATACACACTTTTTCACCATACAAAAACGAATATGGCATTACAAAATACCAACCTATTGGTTATTACCATACAGTAAAGCCGTTAGGTTTTGGCCTCTCTTTCGAAATGCTCCTATGTGACGAGGAGTTCATAGCCCCTGCCATAAAGGTCCTACTCACTTCCTTCATGTAAAAGGGGTGTTCCTCACAAAAGTAAAAGGACGAATGTGAACGTCTGGCACCTACAACCAGACTGGTGGACACTTAGTTCTACCTAAGGAAGCTGGAAACCCCTGATTATAAACATATGGTGTACACGGTTTCACAATCCTAAAGAATCAAATGACGTCTGAGTCTGTTATGGTCACCAGCAACAATAGGAACGTAGTTACTGACGCTACTCCATCGTCTCGTGGATCAGACCTCAAGTAGAAGGCTCCGGCAGTGGCTCTTCGAAACAACCACACCAGCTTTGATCTATGCATCTAGGTGGTATCTCAATGAGTTTTGTATAATATATCATTTGGTGCCTACATATAGTGTACTAAGTTTGTGTTTTATTAATAATAATAACACATTATTATAAAAATAAATGTTGAAAACCTAGTCAAATCCACCACATTTTCATATGTTTTAATAGTTTATTCATGTATGTAGCTTAAGACTCTTCCATCTGCATAGGAGTAAATTTTCCTATGGACTGCAGTACACATAACGGTCATTTTACAAAATCTTGGCACTGAAGTGTGATATCCTGTATCAAAAGAGAAATCATAAGTAAAGGAATTGCTTCAATAACTATTTGCATAAAAATGACTTCGATATGCAATTACATAGCAAAATGACGTATACTTCTTAACTTTTATATGATAAAACATGTTGTGTAAACGACTATATTATAAAAATTGCTTCAATAAATTTAGGGATTTACTTTAAATATATACCTAAGTTTTAAATACATATATACTCACACAGCTACATAAATGGTTGGTGAAATTTAAACACTGAACGGTTTTACTTTATTCAAATATTCTCATACCTTAGAAAGACTTCTACTTGAAGCGAACAAAATCAAATAAACAGTATGCACAGACTTACTTTTCCAATTTCAAGAGAAGAATCAGATTGGAACATGCTTCAGGGTGTTCTGCAGGATATAAGACAAAAACAGTGTATGACAAACAAAGGTTAAGATGCAACCTGAATAAAAATAAAATATCACTAACACAAGCCTTCCATTATATAAAAAAACGACAACACTCAAATATTGTGCGACATTTTCTCAAAACGCGTGACTCTATAACAGCACATAAAGACGAAACTAGCAAAATGAAGAGAAGAGAAGAATACCGACAATTTCAATATCTATGCTGAAAATAAAGAATTTTTAGTTAAAATACGCAAGGGTTATAAAGCGCTGAGCATTCATCACAGTGGAACAATAGTACAGAAAAGCAAACATTGACTTTACAATTCTATATCTCCCCTGATATATTATACATGAGTCTCATATATGTCCAGTTTTGCGTTGACTAGCTGCTTTTCAGTTTTACACCAAAATAGATCAGATTTATGCCCAATGCATACATAAGCACCTGTGACATTTGAACATAACGTGGATGGATGGATGGATAATAACTTACTATCATAAAAACTTTCATAATAACACTTATGTCCATTGAATTAGTGACTAGTTTATTATCACAGTAATTACACGTTCTAATGGTTTTATTCACTGAACTATAATAGTGCATAGCATCTTGTCAGCTGTTTATTGGAATCATTATAATGGCTTTATGAACATAAGAGTTCGAAAATAATCAAGACCATACATAAGATCACCAATGTGTATTATTTTAGCCTTCCTTGACAGAGAAAAAAGAACAGATTACCTATAATTAGGTAGTAAAAGATTTCTGAAAACATTCGTTATTTTAAAGCCAAACAATCGGAAATTTAAAAATCAAGGGCAACAGAAAAGTAATCTCTCTAACCCCTTTACGTTCCGAGTGGAACATAGGATTTCAGATTGGAGCTTTGAAGTTTCAGTAGAAGTGGCGTTTTTCTACGAAGTGGGATTTACATCCTTACCATCAAACTCCCCTGTTCACTAGGCTTACTGCCAACTAGGCGATGTTTAGAAATGTAGTGGCCGGAAATCGAATCCTGGAACACGTGCATGGGTGGCGACGATTCACCCAATCAACTATCAAGGCACAAAAGGAATAATGATATTATAAATTTATCAATGAAACAACCGACTTACTCAATGAATCGACTGAACGAATTAGTGGTAAAAATCGACTGGTTGGAATTTCATGAGCATTAATTAATTGCCAGAAAAACAGCTGTTCGATAGAATTCCACTCGAGACTGGCATCTGATTAATAGAAAAGTGGGTTGAGAAATATTTAGGAAGATAGTAGGCTGGAAATATGAGAAAATATTATATATATATATATATATATATATATATATATATATATATATATATATATAACGAGAAACAGATAATGATAGCGAATTTGGTAAGTCATCCATACTGGCATGGTTAAGAAACTGAGAGTCAATGAAATTAAAGGATTAACATCTTTGATTTCTTTGAACTCATTCACACATATCATAAATGTTATGTCCCAAGATATAAGCCACACACACACACACTTAATTCTACCTAGTTGCTCGGATTGAAGTAAATGCAGCAATATTCCAATACAAGGCCCATTGACTGAAAGTCATACTCTTAGGCCAATGAAGCATATGAACGATCATATTTTAAAGAAATCGAAATGTACTGATAGGATGAGCAGATAAAATATAGGTGTTAAATAGGCAGCTATATCATTTATTCTACATAAAAGCACCGCTGAAGAGTTTAGAATTTAGATAACTTGAAAGAAAAATGCTTTTAACAGTTACGTCTGATGGAATAAACTAATTCCTGAATATTCAATGTGTTAATTTAATATTACACCATGAGTACTGAACACATAATGATACAAAAAAACTAATACAACAGGTTATTTATATAGTATACGTCGATAAGAACAACATAACTAATTAGGCAGTCGTATCTTTTGGAATGATTTATACTGTTTAAAACAACTTAATCAGTTGACTAATCGAATGCTTGATATGATTAATCCTTCCTCATCTGAAATATGCACATCAGCTGTCCAGAATGATGATTATCACAAGAACTGTTAGTGAAAAGTAATTGTCGTAAGGAACCTTGTAGATGATTATGATCGTAGTACAACAATGAAAAATTGCATATCCATGAACATACCAACTCCTAATTTAAAGACAGAGGAGTAAAATGGTAGAGTGCGCTGACAACACTTAATCGGTATGCTGCATTAGATCCAATACACTGAATGCTGATGAAATCTCACCACGGATACAAAAGGCGAATATGGCATTTGCCGACCTACGTCATCTGTGGCGTAAATTTCATATCCGGCTGTCAATCTAGGGACATACATACTGTGCAGCAGTTCTCCCTGTTCTCCTTTATTGCGTGAGACAGGGTCATTGAAGGTAGAAGATATGAAAGGGATAGCTGTCTATGGCCACAGTTATTTGACTCCTATCTACAGGGTTAAATGACATAATACAGTGAGTAATATTGATATTAGGTGTAGAGTGTCATATAAGGAGGATAAGTCGATCGATGAGGTTATGAAGCTACATCGACTGAGATGGCTAGAACACGTGTTGCACATACAGATCCATCGCCTTCCTCACCGATCAATGTTAGCTGACATAAGCTTGGGTTGGAAAAGAGTTAGTGGTGGTGAAATCAAAACCTGACATAAATCCATGCATTCTTTAACAGTTTGTTTGAGTCACGTAGGTAGGTGTAAAAATTTTAGTCGGGGTCCTCAGGAGGGTAACACGACTATCGATGATTAGGCTCCAAATCGTTCTCAATGGTGCAGATGCATTCACTCTTTCAATAATACTATTCTTTCTCCTCTGCAATCCTTCTCATTTAGTTCTTTTGAATTTCTTTTTGTTTTAGTTTATCCGCCTTTGTGTGCTACACACATGGAATGTGGCAACTTCAACCTCTGCACTTTGGTGGAAAGTTCTACGACGCTGAATCAGTAGTACATTCACTCCGGATCATAAACCAAAATGATGCTTTATGTGTATGGCAATAGTACACAATATATTAACCACAAGTTAATGAAAAGCATTGAAACAGACCATGCTATGTATGAAGAACACTCAATAGGTGAGAAAAAACCAATCAAATTTCAAATGAACTATTACTTACTTAAAATACTTGTCAAATCATTATTTGGAAAAAGATTCAAATGACCACGAACTATTTCACTTATAAGAGAATTACACATTCCTGGATCAATTGTAGCAACAATCAGTTGAAGAAATTCAGTATCATCAGATAATTCAGATGAAAACTATGTGAAAAAGGAATAAGTTTATGCAGTGAAATTATTATTATTATTATTATCATGAGTTTAACCAAAGTAAAGTTAAAATAACACTATTAACTGTTTAAGCATTTACTCGTTGTCTACTAAATGTCAAGTGATGAATGCACTTTTACGACATTTTGCAAATTTGTATAAAACAAACGCATCACGTAAAAAGGTGAAATACATGTGCATGTAAATGTAAATCAGTCACCAAATTGTTATAAAAGTAGTTAGATAGTAGTTAAAAATCTGTTGCAAATCACAAGAGTTTTCTTAGTGTTGCACATGTATTGCCGAAAATGTACAGTCATATAACTTAGGCTAAATGTAACCTGAGACCGAGCACTTCGGTCCAATCAATCGACGGGAAAATCAAAAATTCAATTCAATAAATGTAATGTGCTATTTGGTCACTAAATTCTATGCATGCATGCTATGATGTCTCTTACTATCACTACTTATTGCCTACCAATAAAAGTAAGATGAAGACAGTATACACAAATGACAGTATACTGGAAAAAATAAACAACAAATAACACTATCTAGTCCAATTTTAGATTATCCCATCAACTGACTGGATCAAAGTGGACGGTTTCAAGTGGAGGCGTCGGCTCCTTGTGCACATGCTTCGACGAAGTCCGGCCATGTAACTCAAAGTCAACTGGTGTATGGTGACTAGCAGTGGAATCCAGGAGGTACATTTCGTCATATTTCGGACTCCTCATCTGGACGTGTCTACATTCCCCAGTGAGTGATGGCTCTCGTGGCACAAGTGGTCTAGTGGATGACACTTTGGCGTTTGAAACTATGGGCACTGGGTTCGAGCCTCGGTGGGGACACCATCACTCACTGGGGAATGCAGACACGTCCAGATGATGAGCCCGAAATAGGATGTAATGTACATCCTGGATTCCACTGCTAGTCACCATCCACCAACAAATAGCACTGCATATATATATATATATATATATATATATATATACTATTAGAAATACACTGGGATATATGACTGTTAAATAAATAAAATACAGTGAATCAATAATGCAGGAGAACAGATAGATGATAGGGAAGGGGTATAAGAGATTTAAATATTCATAACAATGGATTACCGTTCAGCTACATTACTTAAATAAACAATTAGTTGTCAGAAAACAGACTTGAAAATCTCAGGAGTCGCAGCTAGCAAGTAAAACAAATCACCATGATAGATTCCGAGTGACCAGGATTTCCTTCTGTACCCTGAGAACGGTTTTATAAACTCTAATTGTACAACCCTACGCAGGTGCAAGCACCGCTCTAATTATTTGTCTGCTGACGCTAGTGAATAACTTGACAGAGTTAATATTATGACTGTAGTCTATAAGACGCTTTGTTATTGGACATGTTGGCACCTTGGCTTCAGCTTGTTTTTTTCAGACACTTGGACGAATGCTCTATCATGCAAGTAAACAATCCCCTTTCAGTACGATCTATATATCTTGCTTCTACAAACACACTCAAGTTGATATACACACTTGTATATTCAGTTGAATAGTTCTACTGAAGTTTGATGAATTTAACTAAGTCCTGAGTTTATTAACATTTGTCGCTTGGTTTTTTGAATGAAATTTGTTTGTCGGAATAGTAAGTCTTATACTGACAGTCAATTCATTAACCTAATTAAATTAGCATGTTAATTCAATTTGCATATCTTACGACAATCATTGTCTCTATTGTGTGCATAATCAACTGATGCCCTTTTCTACCCAATAATAATAATAATATACTTTTAACAGATTCCTCTGTTGCACCTGTTATGATTTGAACCGATCGAAATTCTGACAATGCCACTAATATATGCAGCATGCATACCATAAAGATGTGATATACTTATCCTAATCATTTAACACTGAAAATTTATTTTATATTGTTAGAAATATCGCAAACATTAGATGAGAAGTGATTAAAGTCAGGTGAATGATGAATTAAGCTTAAAAGCGTACCGTCTCTTCAATACCACAGTACTTCAAAGGCAATTAAGACGAATCAACCTACTATCTTGACAAAATAAGGGTAGAGTCTAGATTTCGACAAATGACCACACCAATGAAACTTTAAATTACTTCATATATATTTTTTTCGATAAAAAATCCTTTTGAATTACTGAGTAGTGTAAAATTAAAGTATGACAAACATTTGCACAGACATTAACAATAAACTATGAAGTATCCATTAAACAAATGGCACATAGTGGAATTCATTACCTTGCTTACGAGCAAAATACAATTATACAACATTGAATGAGTGGATAGTCAAGATACTTATAAATAACTAAATAAATGAGTGTCAATCGTCGTGCACTCTGCACTATTCTGTTAAATCAGATAATTTATTATTGTTTCCACAATAAGTGAGGTGTTTAGTTAGCAGAAGGAAAATATTCATTTTTAACAAGCTACAGTCACTTCAGCATGGCATTTTCAATCAGTTACCCATAAGAAAGCATAACTGGTTGTTTACACCTCTGAAAGTTTCATTCTTAGATATTTAGACGGAAAGTGAATTGGAGTCAGTGGACTATACAAATCGAAATTGTCTTCTGTTCGATAAGGGGCGGGGGGGATTAAGGTTCATATAAATTAAAAGAAGAAAAACCCCTTGAATAACATCATTTATGTGAATATACACAACCCATCCCCCACATTTTAAGACAATAAAGCACATTACACTGAGCAGTAGCATTTACAAGTGTTGATTTGCAAGGGTTTGATTGATGTCCTGTTTGATCCATGAACTGACTTCCGTTAATGAAATAATAAAAACCAGGGAGTAATGGACAGTTGGGTTCGCCTAATGATTTATATGTGTTCAGCTCGATTTTCCAGTTGGTTAATGAGTGCGAACTGCTGAAAAGACCTTAACTAGATACAAGACAGCTATCCGATACTCCCTCGTTTTCAATAATTTTTGTAACAGAAGTCAGTTCATGATCAAACTTGAAATGATCAGCAGCAAATAAATAAAACATGCCAATTTATGCATTCAGATAGTACTATATAACTTAATAGTTGAGTGCTATGTACCATAAACAATCAACTAGGCAGCTTCGCAAATACAACTGATATTCAAGCAAAATAATACACATTTCTAGTTTCAGGGTTTCATCATGAGCTGACATTAGTTAGAGAACCATTGGAAAACCTGTCACGCAGTACTGGACAGCTGTTTCGTCCTAGTTTGGGACTCTTCATCAGTACGCACCCACCACTAGGATTCGAGCCCAGGACCTCCTGGTTACAAGGCGAGCTCGTATACCATTAAGCCACTGGGACCCGATCCAATGGCCCATGAATTCTAACTTCTGCCAATTCACGATATAGCGCGACCGCTAGCCAATGTCTTCGGCGAGTATTTGTCCTCACACCCGACCAGCTGCACCCTCCTGGTCACGACTCCCCACTGGAACCCAGGTAACTACCTACCTGAATAGGGCCAGTCGTCAGTGAGCATCTCTTTGGTATTAAAAGTGTTGGTTGAAGGACCATTGGATCGGGTCCCAGTGGCTTAATGGCATACGAGCTCGCCTTGTAACCGGAAGGTCCTGGTTTCGAATCCCGGTGGGTGTGTACTGCTGAGGAGTCCCAAACTAGGACGAAACAGCTGTCCAGTACTCCGTGGCAGGTTTTCCAATGGTTCTCTAACTAATGTAAGCTCATGATGAAACCCTGAAACCAATCAAATCCCTACAAACCAACACTTGAATTTCTAGTTTCTATATATCAGAATATGAATTCATCGTTAAAAGCTAGATAGGACAACGACAAACACAGAGAGCAGAAAACAAATATCGATACAGCAAGCGATATGTGAAGAAGTGTTTTTAAAACATACACTCCGATATACTGAATGTCACGTTCTATTGTCACTTCTACTTCACTAATATAAATGGTTAACGGGCTAAGTTTTGTAACCTGAAGTTTTCAGGTTCGATCCCTGGTGGGATCTTGGGTAAAAACTGGTGAAGAGCCCTAAAACAAGATAAACAGTTGTCCATCGCTCCCTGCCTCTTCAATGATCTCGCCAACTGATGTTGGTTCGCAACAAAATCCAAACATAAATTATAGATTACGCAGGAACTGTACACTGATTTTTCAGAGTTGAAATCAATCAAACATATGGCTATTATCCAAAATAACTTGTCATAGTTCAGACTGACTACTCTCCATAAGACTTACTACAGTGAATACATCTGGAAGCAGATAAGCGAACAAACGACGATTATCATCCGAAAGTAACTGAAAATAAAGACAATAGAATTTTCAACAATGAGTAACAATTAGATATCTAAATTAAATGCAACAATAACAGTTTTTTTTCTAAACAAATTATCTTATAATCAGGAGCAAAGGGTTAACGTGATCAGAGAACGTGAAATCAGACAAGTTGATCTGTGAATAACTTATAATTACTATGATCTACTATCTACAACCAATTACGTGATTAAAAAGGATCAAAATGCTTTAGTCAATAAGCTTAAATTTCGGTTATGCTCCAGATTATTCTACTCTTCCAAATAACATGTATAATGCATGAAAACAACGGCTTGCTAAAAAGGGCGTTATATACAATGTTATCATGAATATACTGACAACAAGATTGCTGTTTTGTCATAGAGAGTTTCATCCAAAAACTTGCCCCAGCATGTTAAGAAAAGCGAAGACTGTTTACTAAAATCACTCCGACAAAAAAGATCTACTTGACTGTAGATAAGTGAAATGTTTATGTTACGTAGAATTCTATTAACTTCTAGAATTATCTAGTGAGAAGGAAAAATCACTTTTGTTACAGTTGCTACAAATTCTGAAAAGTAGCTTATTTCTATCTTAGAGGAATATTTACGCATCGTTTAAAGTGATGTAAGCGCTGGTTATAGCTACTTATGTCAGTCAGTAGTATGAACCACAATGCAAGTTCGCTTGTTTGCTTCACTGCCATTTGTGATATCAAACAGATCACAAATTTCTGATCTGAATGATTGTGGTTTCGAAGGGGGACTGTGTAATTTAAAGACGACGAATTCGACTCTATGCTCTACCAGTTCGTTTAAGTAGCTGGTAAGAATTTGGGTCGTTCGAATTGATTCGGTACGCTGAGTTGGCGGAGTCCGGATACCCAACTGACCAGCTTGACCCCATGTGAGAGGAACAGTCGCCCAGTGTTTAGATCACTTCGACCTGGCTAGCAATCACTACTGGTTGATGTGAGGGGTAGACACCTAATCATCTCAACCAATCAGCAGAATACACTTTTATACATATACGCCTGATTTCTTAATTACCATTTATGGTATCAAGCCGATCATATGCATTGTGATCTGTATAATCTCAGTTTCCAAAGGACACTGTTGTGAAATAATCCACCTAGAACTGTATATAATTCAGGAATACACTTTGCTAATTTGATTTGATACTTTTCCCTGACAAAATTTTAATAGTATTAAAATTACTTTGGGTAGCACGTAATTATTTTTAATACAATACAACAGGAGTAGTTAGGGTGGTGCCGAAAACATTAAGAAAACACAAAACTTTATACCTCTCAGCAAAAGAACGGGAAAGGAAGTAGTAATAGAAGCAGCAGCAGTAGTATTAGTAGTTTTAGTAAAATTTTGTCAATTTTAGTCTTTGAATTTTCACATGCAACTTGCAAATTTTATAGAAGAAAAAGAAACTACTGCAAAAAGGTATGCCCGTCTTTTTTTCATGGAAAAAGTCATGGAACGATAAAAAAACATTTCAGGTCATCCATTTGACTCTTACTTGCATGTCCTTAAATAAAGAATCTCGTAAATTGGGATTCTCTTGACTTGCACAAAAATTACGATAAATTGACATTTTCTCATCATTTAACTTGCTGGAAAAAAACAAAGATGCAGAGAAACTGAGCTAAACTAGAAGAAATACTATAAGGGAAAAAACAGAACTACAAGATATTAGACAGCTTTAGAACGCAATAATTGAACAAATAAGTAGTCGAGCACAATTAATGCACAGATTAGTAGACAGTTGAGTCAATTAAATTCACTCCTCAACTGACTGGCTGACTTAGAGTAAACAAATAGTGAATATGACTGTAAATACTGCTGATACTCAAACGGCCTATTTTATATCTGAATATTCACCAAACTGCTTTCTCTAGACTATATATAATTCATTCTTGGTTATTTGAACACTTATATAATTAAATAATTTTTCTTTCACGTTCCCAGTGGAACATAGGGCTTCAAGCTAGGGGCTTGAAGTTTCTGTAGCAGTGGTTTCAAGATGGGGTTGCTAGCCTCATACCCAACCTTTCCTCTTTACCAGCATTATTTCTGGCTTAGCGAGGTAAAGGTGTGCGTCGGCCGGGGATTGAACCCCGGACCATGTGCATGGTCGGCGTGCTTCCTAACCCCTGTGCCACCGACGCACTAACATTATCAGGGCAAGGCGCATGCATATAGCACACAGCCTTCTTCAAACCTTTCACACAACCATTAGGTTGCGTACTATCCCATCGCCCTTGGCAGATCTGGCAATAAAATTCACGAGGACACCATAAGAGCATATGACAGGCTAGGTACCCCAACATTTATAAAATAGATTATTCATTTGAAAAGTGCACAATTTATCATATGAGGTAACATCTATTTGAAATATATTTCAATTTAAACAGAATACTAACTAACCTGATTTTAAGAAAAAATAGCAAGTGATAACCAAGTCTAGGTTGTCGGCTTTGCATTTCTGTTAACAATAATAAGAGTAATTCACGTTTAGGATCACCGGGACTCATTTGCAAAAGATGACGAAATGGAACAAATATGGGGAATGCCAAACAATCTTCCAGGTGTCTAGTAGGAATGTAAAAATTAAAAAGGAGATATAGTTTAATTGAAATCAGGATTTATTTGATACACACACACAAGACCAGAATTAACACTGTAAAATACAATTCTATGTTACGGAAAACGCTGGTTGGTTGATAAGAACATATTTAAACCTAATTAACGAAGATTCAATAAAAAATCAACTGTGTATACAATAAACTATAGGCGAATGTTTCAGAAAACTGTACTAATAAAAACTTACTCCTCAGACCATTCAACTCCAATAGGCATAAGTCGTTGAGCAAACAGACAAAACAACAATTCGCATACAACAGCTGCAGTCCTGCCAGCAATTTCCAAATCATCAAAGCTATCTTCAACAAGTACTGCTTGAATTAAACCCTCCATTGACTCACACAAATCATTGAGCACAGACGGAGAACGCAGAAACACTGATTTCGGATAGGTTGGAAATAAATAAAAAGAGGTCAAAGAGAAAACAACCATAAAGAAGCAACCAATGACAACAATAATAATGTACAATAATTAGCTGCATAGACATTGATGACATTATGGCAATAGGTTTTAGTAATTCCAAGTGAACTAGGTTAACAGAACAAATAATAACCGATTATAGACCTATCATTAATTTGATAAGGAATAAAATCCTCTTCCCAATAACAATTAATAAGATTTCCGATTAATAGTGTTCTCTGAGCTGGTTGGTTTAGTTGCGGAGCTTTCGTCATCTCTCTGGATGATATCTTCAGCACAGTATTTAGGATAAAGTGATTATATATATATAAATTATATTAAATTTTCAGGAATACATGGCTAGCACATTACACTACTTACTCAACCACCAACAGGAATAAGAAATGCAATGCATCAAATGAACTTGAAAAACATTTCTTATCTGTAGTGAATTTAAAACAAACAAGCAACAACTCCATGAACTCATAAACTTAGGCAGCAGTCTTCAGCTGAATACTCACTCTACAAACATTATTATTTATACAATTTCCTTCTAAAGTTAAATACATTCAAACACATAAACACTGTCACAACAAATAAGGATCAATTTCAACAAACATGATCTATAATTGATGAGTGATAAATATGTTAACGCTATTATTAAGTGAACAATATTCATCAAAGCATATATTAAATAAACTGGAATTATTGTGGTAGAATTATTAATACAATTAAAAACAACTAGATTCGATATTGAAATACAAGGAAACTTCGTTAAAAAAACAACCAAATAAATTAAACATACGTAAATTATATGGGACTAAATACGAAGAGCTTAGCATATCTCATTTAAACTCATAAGAGAGTTTGAATACTCCTCATCAAGATTAATACTCAACTATAACTTTCGATTTGTGCATATTAAAAGAAAGCTAACAGTATGTCAGATGAAATACTAATGATAATGGAAAAAACATTGTAAAGAAAAGAGGGAAGGAAGGAAGGAAAATTATAAAGGTAGAATAAAAGCATGCTACTAAAGTAGATTTAAGCTAATTACTTTCTCTTTTTGTATACATAGATTCGGCTCATTTAATCTGATTGAGCAGGCTTCAGCAAAACCAAGAGCTTTTTTATTACCTTGCTTATTAATAAGCATGATGCTTTTGCTCAAAGTTACCTTGTGATCAGTGAACTTTGTTTCAATACAAATTCATAAAACATTTGTCGTTCAAATTACAACTAACACTATTATAGTAAGAGATTTAAACACCACCCAGTACCTATTTTATACCATCATCATTATCGTTGTTGTAATTACTTTTATTATTATTATTATTATTATTATTATTATTATTATAATTCAGAAGACTGATGACTACTGGTTAACCCAAATACACAGTAAAATCAATTACGACCGGTATAAATCAGCAAAATAAATTGCAAAAGGCTGGATTGCAGTTTTCATTCTGGCTGTCCATTAGTAAACAGTCAAATATATCATTCCATGTATGGCTGTGATCAACATAGTGAAAATTGTTGAGACCATTATACAGTTGAAGATAGTAGGTGTTCTTTAGACCAAAAAATCACTAAGAAAGGATTAACATCATTTTTCATTTGTTTTTCTTTACTACTTTAAAAATATGAAATTGCACCTAAATAAACGTTGAACATTGTACGTCGAACGACGCACAACAAACATTTTTTTCAAAATAAATATGTATATACATCAATTACCAGAGGACTTTTGCTCTTCATCATGTGAACCATTGTCCAAATCCTCCAATGTCTGTGAAGCGCATAAACCAATTGAAGAATTACGTATCAAACCAACATGTTTGGCTACATCACGGAATTGCTCCAAAGCAGCACGTATTGGTCCATCAAGTTGTTTAATCAGGGAATTAACATCAACAGATTCCACAAAATAATGAAATCTCAACTGGTAATCTTGAAACCGACGTCGAAGATTATCTGTGAGAAGTAAGTAAAAATAGTCAAAAGTATTCATACAGAAAATCGAAAGAAAAAAGAGAAACAATTATATTAGATTATCTGTAGTTTATTAACAATACTCAGAGCTAACAGTCAACGATACATATTTACAAAGAGCTGACTAGTGGGTAAAGAATATTCTATTAGGTGGTGGTTGATCACAATCGACAGGAAGCCTTGAACTTAGGTTGTGTACGTGTTGGCACGCACCAGTCAGCAAGGCGTATTCGAAGTCGTGCAGGGACTCATGTCTCTTTTGGGATTCCAACTCGGGTCACTCAGTACTGGAGTAATAAACGCTACCACTGGGTTATTCGGGCTTGTGATTGACCGTCTGTAGGGCTGTAATGGATATTTTGTCTAGACACCAATTATTAACTAATGCCATGCACCTAGTCCTTCGTTTGGTGCAGCCCAAGTACCAATGTAACAACAGAAGACAAGGGCCAGGCAACAGATCGTTTATTAAGGAAATCAATCAATATTTTCATGTACATTATTATAGCTTATTCGAGCAAACAAACACACTCTTCTGATTGGTTGTTTCTCACAGAAAGTTGACCTTGCATCTCTTTGTAACTGTTTCTTGAGTGTCAGATCATCTATGTCAACTGTATCTGCCTACGCCAAGTCTGCTGTGATTGGTTGTTGAATCAGTCTGTTCATATTTTCTCACGACCAATATTTGGGTCATACACATTGACGTAAATAATTGTCTACCAATTGGCTAGCAGCCTGCTCTCACCACACTATTAGTCAAGTAGAAAAACTAACTCTAAGGTTTCCTGCCAATTGCCACCTGACAAAAATGCACCGTGATGACCAGCCACCTAGAATGGTCGCCTTACTATAAATTTGACTGACAGAATTCAGTCTGCATCAAAAGAAGGACTAGACGCATGGTATTAGTTGCTAACTAGTCTCTAGACAACAAGAATATTCTTCTCGATAATTCCTTCTTAGGTTCCATAATCCTATCCCATTAGATTTCCACTCAAAAGCCTAGCGCGCGATATCACTCGACGGTCTCAGCGTATGTTCCTTTGAACCAGTGATCTAATACAAAGTCACTTTTGAGTCTATAATTGATTTAATTCTTCGAGAAAAATGATTGTTGCTCAAACTCTAGTGACAGAAATAGGATTAAAACTCATAGTTTTTATTTGTGAACTCAGTTCATATAGATTTCATGTACCACGATATGTGCAACACATTATGTAAGGGTTAATAACACTATCTAGTTGCCCAGACTGAAGTGGGAAAAGTGGAATTTGAACACAGCAACTATTGCTTGAAAGCTAAGCACTTAAGCAAATGAACCACTTTACCTACCACACAAAGGCCTTCAAACTAAACAACACAGACTGTTACAATAATGAAGCAATTGAAATTGTGAATGACATCTGAAGGAATCACGCAACAAAAAAACACGTATTACAGAGTGGAGATGGGTTTTAACAAGGAATGAAATGGAACAATGTGAGAACTGCGTATCTATACAAAGAGAACCAATACCATCTACTCACATGACTACAAATTTTATGAATTGTGTCCTCACTTCAAAATATACCTATTCTCAGTTACTGCCGTCATAAAAACAACTGGTATGCACTGACGTGAGACTTACCGATCTTAAACTCTAAGGAATCTGGTGTATCTGGTTCATGATCAGAAGATTTCTTGATTACATGCCGACTTTCGATTGGGGGAGGACTCCAGGTGGCGGTTCTTGTGGGTGCTGGTTTACTGTCCAATATATCTATCTCCATAATATCCATATCATCATCTGTTATCTGGGCTTCTGCCAACTGTTGAGAACTGCGAGGTAAGGTTGGTAATAAGGGTAGTGTGCTACGAACAGGAATAATTGGGGCTTTTACGTCATCTTGTGATGGGATCAGTAGGCTTGGGTTTTGTTGTTGTGCCATCGGTACACTTGTTTGAAGTATTGGAGGTGATTCGGATGCTGTCAAAACAGGTTTGATTACATTTTCAGTCGCCACGGAACTCACACTTGGTGGAACAACTCCAGCAATAATGGCAGCATGACCTCGTGTCAGACGAGGATCTGTTGGTGGTCCACTATCTGTTGTCAACACTGAAACCAACAAGAATCAAAATAATAGACACAGTCAAACAAGAAAGAAAGATTATTTTTAATCCGTTAGTACTGATAATCGGTACCATACACAATGTGTATATTTATTCACTTCTCATTTGTATGCACACCTTCAAAGGCGTAAATAAGTAAGAGAACGACAACTAATAATTTAACAATCGTTATATTATACAAACAAAATGCTGCATGAAAACTTTGTACTTCTGTTTTACAAACACAGCTCAAAAACCCACTCTCTGTTGCCTATAGTGACAATTAAATTGGGCTAGATGGCTAACAGGAAAACTACTCAGGTGTGAAACGTCAGGTGTAGTGAAGAAAAACAGTAACGGTTAGAAGAGACATTTTCATGCTCATTGAATTTTCTAAAACCTACATTCAAAGAGCAATGCTATATTTTGAGATGTAAATGCATGAACTAGGAATAACATTCGGAGACATATAATACACTTTTCAATATACGATACCAAAAGTGTCATCACTGGATTCCATCACATTCTAATAACTATTTTAAAGCTTGTTACAAGGAGGCATACACGCCAGAGAGTATTGGGAGAAGTAGTGATATCTAACGACACAATAATTAGTATATTTTAAATGCTATACCCATTAAAATTCAAAAAACAATACGGCGATCTTAAAATACAGTTTGTGAAATCGTTATTTCACAAGACAAAAAAAACTAACCAGAGGACAAAGGTTTTGAGTTTGGTAAAGGTGTGGTATTTTGATTACGAGACACAATTGTACTGCTTGTAACAGGACTTGAATTCGTATTCACCGTCGGCATATCACCTGGTCCGACCCACTTCTCAGGGAGTATGCGATTAGGGCTGTCAACTGGTGAGACTACTGTATTCGGCAAGGTACTAGGAGGATCAAGACCCAATAAAACACGTAGCGACCGCAGCAAATCCGTAGAAGAAGAACGGTGCAGAAATTCGAAAAGTGGAGCAATGCTTCTGCAAATAAACAGAATATCACATTTGAGTAAACACTTGCTTCGCGTGCTACACGGAATGTGGCGACTTGAACTTCCGCACATTTGTGCAAAGTTCTATGTCGAAAACAGACAGACAGACAAACACTAATATATAACATAAGCCTCTCATATTGCTGAAGTCTTTAGTCAAAATAACATATACGATATGAACACACAACTAAAAACTAAGTAACAGAATGAGTGGAAGCATCATAACTGCTGTACATACAAAGAGACCGGGAATCTCTGGAATCATGCACATGCTTATACCACCTAGGTGGTTGGTTGCAGAGGACTCGCAGAAAGCCCTGAGCTTAGGGTTTTGTGTTTGTTACTCATTAGCAAAGTATGCCTGTATCAATTAATATCACAGATTTAAATCTCCGATCAAATAATAATTATCTGGTGATCAGAAGTGCCAGTAATCACAAAATCTAGGTCTACAGCTACTTCCCGAATTTTCGCGGTCAACCAGCATGAATCAACAGTGTTCTTTGGCTTTTACTTGTAAGCAAACGGTGAAATAGAGTAACGCTATTTAATTAGATATGTAAATGATGAAATCTTTCTAACACCTAACACTAAAACCTACTTAGAGAATGAAACTTAAAGTATGGTCAAATATCATTTGAAACTTGACATTTATGGATGCGCAACCATATGTCTGTAAAACTTTCTGAAACCCTTATTATCCAGACAACCAAACCAAAGTGTTAAGGGATTCGTAAAATGTGTTTAGGTGATTGGTGTTAAACCACATACTGAGTTGATGCTGATGAAAATACCTAGTTATTTAAATGGCGTTGAATGAAATCAATTTGGAATCCATGATTTGGTGGTTGTAAATTGAATCTCGGAAGTTGTTCATGAATTGAAACTCAAATGGAACCCTCTAAACAATTTACGCTACATTAGTAGGCACATATACCACAAAAAAATCTTACCCAACTGAAAAAATACGTTTTGCATAACAGCTCATGAACAAACTTACAACTAACCTATGACTTAGGCCACAAAAGATAGAAGGCATTATTAGGCCGTGAAAGTAAAGGGTAACGTATTAAAATACGACAGTAAATTATATACTCTTGTTTGTAATTATGAGAAAAAATTACACAGAAATTATTAATGCAATTGCAAAAAAGTATAAAACAATCATGATCCTACTTAACAACACCCAAACGGATCATTTCTTCTAAACCAGCACGGACGCCTAAAACGATTCTTTCGACCATAGGTGGGTGATAAGTTCCAACAATCTGAAGCACAATAATAAAAGATAGATTACATACAGAGGAGTATACACAGTTCTCTGCATATATATATATATATATATATATATATGCAGAGAACTACCAAACATTTAGTTATATAAATAAATGGAATTTTTATTTCAAATATCAACACGATATATAAGCCGAAAATTAATCAACATTCCTGGTAATCTTCAAAATAATACCCAACAACTACGGACATCAATTCGACTGGGACAACGTTCAAATATTAGACAAAGGAAATAACAAGAATGGTAGAGAATTTTTAGAAGCTTGGCGTTCCAGTGGATCATCAATCAATAGACACATCGAGATAGACAAAATTTATCAACCAATAAGGAAGAAACTTCATACACAAAGGTTCAAAGTTCAAGGCAAAGAAACAACCGGTTCCAATGCAAGTAACCTAGAAGGTGTGAAAACACACACAAACAACCAATCACGTCCAAGGTCACCAGGAGAGATGATTAATAAACTCGTGGAGAAATCTAAAAGCTCACTTCAAATTGAAGTATGCGCTGAAGATGTCACCCAGTAAGGTGATGAAAGCTTCGCAAACTAAACATCCAGCTCAGAGAACAAAACCACATCAAAATCATCCACCTGAGCTACAAATCTTCTCTATCATATCTAATTACCAAATGTTCAGTTCAAGAACCAAAATTTTTCGATAACCCTTTGTACTTAATCGCACATGTTTCCATATAACACTGTTCTGCAGTAACACCATACAAGCAGTTCAAATGTATGATCTCATGCAAGAAATAGTCATTTAAATAAAGAATTTCATAATTACATTTCATAAGCGTGTTACTACAGTGACTTATATACTAAAAGCTGTATTCTACAACTGAACCTAAACATGTTGCTAGGTTATTCATATGCATTAGAATAAATGTATCGAAATACTGGTTCACTCAAAATCCTGTCTTTTGAATGACTTAGCAACATGCCTGTTACTTTCAGTCGTACCCTAGCTGCAAGGACAGCTGAAATAAGTGCAAAGACTGTCAATGGAAATAACTTGGTCTTTGGACAGAAATTCCACCATCTTATGGTAGGGGGTGCGAAATCTTGACTATCAGCTGCTGGAAACTTTGACAGCTTCCTCCAAATCGAAACTAGTGACAAATATACAGTTCCTTTAGTTCCTGTATTCACTAGGGCATATTATCTTTCCGACAATTTTAGTGATCTTTGTTTCACTCCGTCAATATTTAGCACTCTTGCTATCTGCTTTAAAGCATCATATTCCTTGGCTGTATCGTTTTGTGTTGAAAATCAAGTGAATAATGAATGAATAAATACAAAACAAAACCTCGTCTAGTTAACTAGCTCGCTACTTTTCTAGACAGTCCCACGCCCGGGTAAAGAGGGAGAGTTGGGCGTGGGGCTAGCAACCCCACACCCACTAAACCTATTAAACTGCTAGAGAAACTTCAACGCACAGAAAATACATTAAAAAATACGAAAAAAAGCAAATAACAGCAATCTTATTCTTCGCTGGAATCGGAGGCGAAATGATGTAGGCTGATGAAGCCTTTGAGAAGCCAGTCAGCCTATAAGTCTTCTCTTTATGGAAGCAAGAATAGGAGTTGGGTCATGGAACGTACGTACAATGTAAGAGACTGGGAAGACTTCTCAGGTAGCAGAAGAGGATGTGGTATAGAAGAGCTCGAAATCTGCTAGAGCAGATGGAATGGATGTGGATTATCAAAATTGTCAACCAGAGACTCAGTAATCTACTCAGATCTGGTCACCCAGATGACAACCAAGAGCACACTAAGGCTCATGACATCACCAGTGGTAGTCAGAGCCCTAATGCAGTGGGAACCAATTTCATCCAGAACCATGACAGCAAGATTCAAATCAAAAGGAAGGAAGGTCACAATTATCCAATGCTACGCACTTCCAAACAACTTAGAACAGGATAAAAAGAAAGATTTTGACAGACAACTACAAACAGTAATGGACAACATTCCGAATGGTGACATCAAAATCCTCATGGGTGATATGAATGCCAAACTGGAACCTGATAATGCAGGAGAGAGGCTCCGGAGAAATGAGTGAGAACGGAGAATTATTCGCAGACTTCTGCTTTCAACGATTTGGTGATCGGAGGCAGCGTGTACAAACACAAAAATATACACAAAGCAACATAGATTTTGCCTGACGGACACACCAAAAACCGGACAGATTTTATCTCAGTCTGAAGGAAGTGGAGACGCAGCCTGCTGGATACAAAATCGAGAAGGCGAGCAGATGTGGGCTCAGACTATCACCTAGTTCAAGGAACCTTCAAGGTGAAACTAAAATCCCTGAAAACAAATGGAGACAGGCCATAATTCAAGTTCAACATTCAGAAACTGAAGGACAAAAATACAAGGCATACCTTCACTACAGCTATCAGAACAAAATCCGATACACTACGTAGCATCACCAAGGTGAATTCCGTGGAAGAACACTGCAGCTCTATGCAGGTGATATTCAGAGAAACGTGTACAATTGTTCTAGGAAGGAAGTAGAGAGAAGACAATGAACTGCTATGAACGGACGCCTACTTCGAAGCTGACAGAAAAGATAAAAGGAGGATAGTGAAAGAGATGACTCAATGCAAAGATGGACAACAGAAGGAGAAGCTGAGCTCGATGTACACTGCACTGAATAAAGCAGTAAAGAAGAGTGCTAGGAAAGATAAAAGACAATTCTACGATACACTGGCAACTGAAGTAGAACAGACTGACCTCAGGTAAAAGAGACCTCAGAATATCATATCAGATAATCAGGTTTGTATCTGCGAAGAGATCAACCCAGACAATGAAACCAATAAAAGATGGTGGAGGGAAGCTGGTCGCCAAGGAGGAGAAACAAATAAAACAACGGGTTGATCACTTCAAAGCATTCTTGAATCGACCATCACCTGAAACTCGCCTAGAAATACCACCAACAGCACGCACGGAACTGCCTACCGGTGGACACCAAACCTCCAACAAAAGCAGAAATCCTAAATGTGATCAAGCTACTGAAGTTCGAAAAGGCAGTAGGATCGGACGGAATTGTCCCTGAAATACTAAAAACAGACCCAGAGACTGCGGCAGATGTTCTCACACCATTATTGCAAAAGGTTTGAGAAGAAGCAAAGGTGTCTGCTGATTGGAAGAGAGATCGGCTAACTTGTCAAGATACCAGAGAAGGGTGACTTACACCTCACTCTGCAAGAATCGTCATGGAATAATCCTCTCGTCAACGCCAAGTAAGACACTGAGTCACACCATCCTGGAGAGAACAAAGGATGCACTGGATACAGAACTCCGACAGACCGCCTAAACAAGCTCAATCCAGGAAAGGCGAGTTATGTGCTGATCAAATTGCAGTTATACACATCGTCATCACAGAACAGAGCGTACAATGGCAGTCAAATCTCCATCTCAACTTCATCGACTTCAAAAAGGCCTTCAAAAGACAGTGTTGACCGAGAATTTGGAAACTACTTCAACACTACGACGTGCAATGCCCAAGTCCTTATCAACCTCATTCAACAGCTAGCTATATGAGAATGGCACATGTCAGGTGATCCACAAGAGTAAACTCGGTGGGGCCTTTGGAGTGCAGTTATAAGACAAGAACGACTGCCTGTTATCACTGCTGATATTCTTAATTTTGGTGGACTGGATTATGTGTCAGACTGTTGGGGGCGATGAGTCAGGAATACGCTAGACCATCGATAAAAAGACTTTAGAAGATCTGGATTTTTCAGATGAATCATGTTTAGTATCACACAAATCCAAAGACTTGCAAGCGAAAACCAACAAACTGGTTGAAGAAGCAGGCAGAGAAGATAGGACTACGGCTGAACACTGAGAAGACGGAGGTGGTGAAGAAAACCAATAAACAGCAATAACAACCAGCACCAATCACCATCAACGGGAGAGATCTAACAGAGGTTACCTTCTTCACTTACCTGGGGAGCATCGTTTCACCTACAGGCGGAACGGACGAAAATGTCAAAGTCAAAATCAGAAAGACAAGAGACAGCTTCATCAACCTAACACCAGTTTGGAAACCTCCTACACTCAGCATAAGGAACAAGATTCGTATTTTCAACACCTATGTCAAGTCGGTTCTTCTATACGGATCAGAAATTTGGAGTGCAACTAAAAGGATTTCCAACAGGATTTCATCGACAGCTGCCTTTGCTCCATACTCAGGATCGAATGGCTGGCCAGAAAGAATTAGTAACAAGAAACTCTGGCTTGGAACAAGACAACCAAGAGCCCATCGCTCAACAAATGTGCAGGAAAAAATGGAGATGGATCGGTAATGCATTGAGGAGGCCGTCGAATGACATCATGAGCTAGGTCCTCAAGTGGAATCCAAATGGGAAGCGACGAGTGAGTTGTCCTGGGGTGAAATGGAGGAGGTCGTGTGAGGAAGAGACGAGAGAGTTTGGACCAACCTGAAGAGGATGTCAGAAAAAAGAACGAAGTGGAGACGTGTTGTTGAAGCCCTAGGTTCTGTTTGGAAGCCAAGGGGATAATAATATACGATTAGTACAAAACAATACACGAAAGAAACATCTACAACCACTCTACCTTCTGCGAAGTATAACCATAAAAACAGGATTATGTAGACTCGAAAAATATAATTTCCTTACCTTGATTAAAAAATCAACCAGTGAAAATGCGATCAATTGGGAACGTGGGTTGAGATGATTCATAATAGCCAATAAAGCAGGTTCTGCAAAGACAGAATAGAACAGTGACAAAAAAAAAGCAGAGTAATTGTGAAAACATTTCACAATTTCATGGAAAATAGACTTGGTAACTAGCATAATCAGCTTCATTAATAGCCAAATCCATTGTATTTTTGACAATGTCACTCTCTGTCTGTCTGTCTGTCTGGATTCAACATAGAACTTGGCACCGAAGTGCACCAGTTCGAGTTACCACCTTCCAAATGGCACACAGAAGTAGACAAGAAGATGAGTGAAGAGAATCAATAGAGTTTAACAAGTATAGGTGTGAAACAGAATGGATAATGGTAGAAAGGAATATGAAAGATTACAGAGACTGAATACATCTGCGCCATTGACAACGATTTTGAGCCATGTCACCTATTGTCTCCAGCCATTGATTCCTAGAGTCCCGAGGGTCCCAACCCAGAAGTCTGAATCTCCCTACCTTACTCAGCTTAACTGTCAAGGATTTCAAGGATTGATGCCATGTTTTTGTTTGGCCACCACTTACCCTTTTCCAACCTGCACCTATATCAGCTAGTAATGCCCGTCGGGGAGGCGATGCTTAGGCATGCGCGCCACGTGACCTAGCCATCTTAGTCTATGTAACTTTATAGCCTCGTCGATTGATTTTCCCTCTTTGCCCAACACTACGCCTAACGTCAACATTACTTACCTTGTTAAACCACCTAACGTGAGACAGGGATCGCAGACATCTATGATCGAAAGCAGTCAACCTTTTCATGTCTTCAACGCGTATTGGCCATGTTTCAGAGCCATAGAGAAGGACGGAGCGAACTGCTGAGCAGTACACACGTCCCTTGGTTGATAGCCGAATGTCACGCCTACGCCAGAGGTGGTGTAATGTCACTCAGTCGTCCATCATAAACTAGACAGAATAATTTTACACTTATGACCTGGCATCCATTACAGCTGAGACGTAATCATATAACAGATTGATCCTATGCTAGTTATCACCACCTTTTACAATCAATCATCTAGTCAGTACAAAGAAAGGAAGAGAACTCATTACTACGTGCTTCACAAAACATTGAAAAATAACGAAACCACGTGACCCGCTTTGACAATTAGCTTTGATATAGAAACTCATACGTTAACTATGCATTTAAGAGTTAAAATTAAGTAAGAAATATAGTATCAGAGAATCTGCCGAATTTTTATTCAGTTGCCATGGAAAAATGAAGTGCAGTAGCAACCCAAGACATCTTTTTAGGTGACCAAAAGCTCAGATTATTGAGTACGAGATAAATCCATGCTCTTCAACATGAATTATCAAACTAGTAGGTGGTCTAGAAGCTATTGGACGACCGTGCTGATTGAGTTTAAAATATTTCGGTTATTTTCGAGCCACACAGGTTAAATATTTACCATCTAGAAAACAACAAATCGAAAGCAAAAATAAATGCGTTTCGACTACTACGTTACTTTTGTCTTAAAAGCTATTAAATGAACTTCTGTTGAAATATAATAAATTCTTATAAATTGAGTTACATGAGCATTAGTACAAATAATTACGAAAATAAATTGCTGAAGTTCGGAGTAGCAAGATTCGTGTAGTACTAGAGAATGAGTTAGTTGGACTAATTACCCAACTAATAACAGCTGTGAAGAAATTATTGCACAGTGAATCAGAGAAGCATGAGCAACAACCATAATAAGCTTTAAGAATATTAAAATGTTAAATAACCATTTGAAACGAACATGTATCTTAACTAATAAGAAATAAGAAACTTACCTAAATTCATTATGCAGTCATTAGGTTTAAAGAACAGCCAATCATAGAAAAGAGCCAGTTTGGCGTTAGCAGTAGCTACAGGACACTAAATAAAGAACACAAAATCGAATTAACCAATAAGGACAATACACACTGATGAAATTCAATAGCACACTAATTAGATTTGGAATTCGAAAATTTCTGTGTCAAGAAATACAACTTATGTGCATTCGCATGTTACCAAATAGAAGGTTTAAAAGGATACAATTAAGTTGCTAAGTTGTAGTCAGGCATACTTCCCATACACGCCAAAAGATGGTCACTAATTATGAACACGATAAAGAATACAAACAGTAACTACCTGTGGTGTTGACTGAAAGCTGACTACCAATCAAAAAGAAAATTATAATAAAAAATCCGTAGGTATTATGTGAAAACATTTAGAGGATTTTACTCATATAAAGGCTACAACTTTCTCAAAGCATTTGACTTCCGAAAGTATTCAATTTTCAGCGGGACCTGATGGAATGACTCCAGAGGTATTTAAGTACGGTGGAGACAGCTTACTGTCCGGATTAACTGAGGTACTAGGCAGCGTCTGGGAATCAGAAGAAGTCCCATCGGGTTGGTGTAAGTCACTGATTATCCCCATATACAAGAAGGGAGACAAGTCTTCCTGTGATAATCACAGAGGGATTAGCTTGACTAATATAGTATCTAAAGTCTTAGGCTCAATAATCATGCGTAGACTGAGTGGTGCTCGGGAAGCACAAACACGAGAGAGCCAGGCAGGCTTTAGACCAGGAAGAGGGTGTATTGATCATATCTTCACCCTCCGACAGATTCTAGAACATAGGGATTCCTACCGGCGTCCAACAGTCATTATATTTCTTGACCTAAAGGCAGCATTCGACTCTGTCGATCGGGAAGTTCTCTGGAGATTCTTGGCTGTAAAGGGAATTCCAAGAAAATACATTGCACTGATTAAGGCACTCTACTCACGCTCATACAGCCAGGTGAGGGCTTACGGCGAGCTGTCATCTGAACTGATGACGACCAGTGGTGTCCGTCAAGGATGCCCATTATCTCCTTTTCTATTCAACTTCATCATAGATGTGTTAATGGACTTAACCCTAGGTGACTTCAGCGACTCAGCGATTGACTTGCTACCGGGGAATAATCTCGTTGACTTGGAATATGCAGACGATATAGTCCTTCTAGGCGAAGACGCTGACAAAATGCAGAGTCTTTTAAACAGCTTGAGCTGCAATCTACGAATGTTTGGCATGCGATTCGCTCCCGCCAAATGCAAGATGATGTTACAGGACTGGACTACATCGACGCCTAGTTTAAAAATAGGAGGTGAAGTGGTAGAGCACGTTGACCGCTTCACTTATTTGGGAAGTACCATCAGCCAGTGCCAACGGGTTGATCTCTGACGAAATCTCAGCACGAATACAGGGGGCTCGTTTCGCATTTGCCAGTTTACGCCATCTCTGGCGTAGACGTGATATCCGACTATCGACCAAAGGGCGGGTGTACTGCTCATCAGTCCGCTCCGTCCTCCTTTATGGTTGTGAGACCTGGCCACTGAGAGTGGAAGACATGAAAAGACTAGCTGTCTTTGATCATAGGTGCCTGCGTTCTATTTCCCGTGTAAAGTGGCATAATAAGGTGAGTAACATGGAGGTTAGGCGTCGAGTTCTAGGTAAACAGGGGAAATCAATCGACGAAGTCGTGAAGCTACAAAGACTGAGATGGTTAGGACATGTGTTACGTATGCTAAGCCATCGCCTCCCTCGACGAGCTATGTTAGCGGATATAGGGTCAGGCTGGAAAAAAGCTAGCGGTGGTCAAACAAAAACTTGGCATCAGTCAATGAAATCCACAACAGTTGGTCTAAGCCACGTAGAAAGGTGTAGACTTCCATGCTGGGGTCCTCGGGACGGTAAAAATCTATGGTTGGAAACAATTGGTGACATGGCTCAAAACCGTTCTCAGTGGCGCAGATGCATCCACTCCCTGTGACTTATGATCTTCAATGAAACTGTTTTGTATTTCTTTATTACTCCTTTGTCTCACACCTCTGCTCACTGTTTCTATTATGCTTTTCTTGTACTTTCTTCTCTTGCTTCGCGTGCTACACGGAATGTGGCGACTTGAACTTCCGCACATTTGTGCAAAGTTCTATGTCGAAAACAGACAGACAGACATTCAATTTTCATCCATCTCGGGTTTTTCACGTAGTACTGAACTTCCATATGCCAGGAAAATAACACCTACATCACTCACTTAAATTTACGCTCAGCAAGATGTTTTAATTCTGTGACACTTGCTGTTAGCTGTAGATATCATAGGAACAAAGTTTTATTTGCACCCGATAGCAACAAATCTCGACCGAAAGCAAACAATTTATTCTGCGGTGTGGCTGTGAGTACCAAATCATCTTCAGTGAGAACACAGTCAAACCAAAATGTATGAGGCTAGTATCTAATTCTCCTAAGTCGAACAAACTACTAACTTTCTTCAAATTATCAGATTTACAAATCTGAATAAATCAAAAAGATGCCAATATTTACCTAAAAATAAAAGACCTAAAAGACCAACCTTGAAGCGAAAAGCAACACGATGATCCCATAAGTCCAGGGATAATATTTGTTTAAGTGAAATAAATGTATAAGTGGAAAATTAGGCCCACAAAACAGCCGAATTTTATGATATCTTAGGCACTCACCGTAGACTGTGATAGAATCCAAGAAACTACATTCCATCGGGGTATTAATGTTGAAGCTAACATTTCATTGTCCGGATAGAAGTAAGTCACTACGTATCGAAGAAGACATACGCGAAGGCTCTGACTTTCTGGAGTTGCGAAAAATTTTCGCTAAAACATAAAACGTAAGATATAATTTTAGCGGTTTTGTAACAAAAAAGTGAATAAATTAGCGACCCAAATGCTATGAAAACATACCCCCACTGAAGTCACAATGAAAAACTGTATGAAGTGTGAAAATACCTGGAAAAAGTCCTGATACCGGTGAACAGGCACTCTTGGCACACAGTGAACATTCTTCATCATCCAACGAACCCATTGTTCCATTTCATGTGGAATAAGAGTTTGAGTGAAACACTGAGGCGTTGTGATTTCCAATATTTCAGAAAGATCTAGAATATTTTATCGAAAATAAACGTATTCAGTGGAAGGCTTCATAAAAATGCAATATACTAAAAAACAGTTAACTCCAAAAAAAGAGACAACTTCAGACAAATGCAGAAAACCATCATCTTCTGAATAAAAGTACAAACAGATAGTGAACCCAAATTCCCGACAAGACTTACTTGAAAAACAAGAAGACAGAGATGAAATGTTTTGTAGGATATCATCCCACAAACGCTTTATGGGTTCTAGTCGCGCAGCACCATGTAAAAGACGAATAAAGTCTCGACCAATTTGGGCGCAGCGGTCAAACTAAAACAGAAAACGGTTTGAGAAAAAAATCTTGATTACTCTTAACCATTAAACAAATTTTGTATGCCTCAGAAGCAAACGCATAACGATATGATCTATAATACACCTTAATCTACAAAAATAAAACAAAGAACCACGAAATTTCTAAAAGAATATGTATCGATAGACAATTAAGATCAAGAATGCGTAAATACTGACAACATAAATATCTATTAAAGGAAGCGGACCAAAAGCTGATTGACTTCTCGATATAGAACTTTGCAAAAAGACGCCACAGCTGAAGTTGTCAAACCTCGGTAAAGCACATATGAAGATCGAGGAAATATACATAACGAAATCACAATGGAAGAAAATGTAACGGATAAAAATTAATTAGGTGAATATTGCTGACGATTTTTAGATGACAGAGTGGATGCGATACCCAGTCTTATCATTAGCAATTTCAAAACACTAGTTTCTTGAAACAAGAACTTAGCCAGGAAATCTGCACCACCTTAGGCGGCTCAAACCAGCAGTTATATACGTTATAAATGGGTGTCATGTTTTTATTTGGTCATCCGTAACTTTTTCAATCTAATCCTAATTCAGCTGATATTGCTCATTAAGTGTGTAACACCTAAGCATTTGAAGTTCTGAATATAGTGTTTCGGTCTAACCAGTAACTTCCCTAAATTAATTATATTTCATTCAACAATGCTTCTCAAAGGAGGCGATGACATGGAAGGGATAATACATATCGATGGAAATTCATGGCCTCAAGTGAACGATTTCCCTTCTTTGTCTAACACTTCCTTTGACCTCACTACTACTCAAAACCTCGCTCCACTGACAGCAGAAACTGAACGCAGACACCCACGGTGTCAACTTTGTTTCACGTTACCGATTGGGTGGGGCTAAATGCTGGACAGACATCATGCCACTGCTGAGGAGGAAGGAAGTTGACGAGACCAGTTTCTCTTACCTTGCTGAGAAAAAACCCCATAGAAAATCAGGTTTACACAAATGTGCTACAATGCACATGGTTCTAGACATTAACGATTTTGTTACCATTCAAATAAGCGACAAACTGAACTGACACAATTGTTTGCAGTATAAATTAGCAAAAATGTTTGTCAAAGACAGCAACCTTAAGGAATGTACCTTGAATTGGTTTCATAAAAATTATGGCTTTTAAGTTGATACATGAACCTGTACCAGTCAGATAAATTACAGACACCCATTCAGTAGTCCAAAGATAACAGTTATGGAAGTGTCGATTCTCATAATACTTCTGTGCTCAAGTATTTACCTACGACAATTACTTTTCACCAACAGTGATTCTCCTTTGTCCTAGACATTCAGGACAAAAAGCTACACTCATAGCTTTTACCTGTAAACTAAATGTATATATAGAAAGCATTGAGCTGCAAGGTGGGATATTTAGATGCTGTCGTCTTCCAAATAAGAAGGGAAAATTATTCTAATATGTTACTTACCGATGAAAAGTGATTTAACAACACATAAAGGAGAGTCAAGTGCAGCAACCTCGACAAGCACATACCAGGTCCTGCGTTACACATCCATAAGAAAGGCAAACAAAACTATATCCAAGAGACTATCTACAAACTTAACATGTAGTAGATTATTTAATATTAAGGTTTACGAACACATACAAAAGGGACATTTACGAAATAACACCAAAGTAAAGAAATCAGTAGAATGTCTTTGACTTACGTTTTTGCGAATAAGTTCTTCAACCAAACTTAATTCCTTCTGTCGGAGCTTGGGTAAAAGGACAGATGGAATGGGAGACACTGCTGCTGGTGGTTGAGCAGTAGAACTGTGATCTGGAATTAGCCTAAGCAGTGTATATACAGTTAGGGGAAGCAAAAACGGCTGTCGATCTAAACTGCTTAGCCACTCTCTAGTGAATATAATTCAGGAATCAAACCAAATTACTTGTTTTTCTCCAGAAGGTCTACCATAACATCTACGAGCCAGAGGTTTGGTGGACTGATATCACCAGCTATCAGAAAACTAAAAGGAAAACACAAAAATTACTTGTCATTCGTCGGTAAAGATGCAGCATTAAGACCTCGACACTTGCAGTCCTCGTTGATATAAGTTCACCTAACAAAGATATAGCGTTGGACCGAACAGTATTAGTCATTTTCGGCCATGTCTCTGCCACCAAGCGAGTTAACTCTGACAGGACGTAGGTTAAATTGTCGCGAGATGTCAATACAATATCCGTGCAGAATGAGTGCCTTGGATCCGGCTCAGTGAGTGCCAAATACAGCAGCCCAGCCTGCAGTGCTCTGTGCTCTTCCTCAGAACCGGAACGATTAGCCTAAGAAAATTGCAAATCACGATGTTCGTGTACCTGCGAGTCAACTACATTCGCCTCTGTCTCTCTTAACTTTTTAACGAACTTTCCAGCAGATTGAAGAGTCTGAAATTAAATAACTTTATTTAAACTTATAAGCTTTACCAGTAGGAATTTAGGAGGACCATCTAACGATGTTAGTTTTAGCAAAGGCAGTACCTGAGGCTCCATCTAACGAAATCTGACTTGTTCGACTTCAAGGTCATGCAGAAACTTGCCTAAGTAGAGAAACAATCCAATATCCAATGTCGTTTTTAAGAGCTGGTATAACCCAATTCGATTTCTTTGAGCTTCCTTCTTAATTTTGAGGTAAAGGTTCCTAGTCTTCGGCAAACTTCTGCATAGTTCGTCCCGCCACTTGAATGTCGTAGCCTTGGTTGACTCCGAAAGGAGTAGTTGTGGCGATTCCAATATCCAATATAGTTTTTACGACCTAGTATAAACCAATTTGATTTCTTTGTGCTCGCTTCTTGATTGTAAGGTATAGGTTCCCCATCTTCGGTAAACTTTTGCGTAGCTTGTCCCGCCACTCGACTGTCGTAGCTTTGGTTGACTCCAAAGGGAGTAGTGCTGGGATTAATTATATGTGGTTTGTAGTATGAGGTATGTTAAGACTGTTACTACTGTGAATGGAGTTGATCCTTTCGCCAGTTAGTCCTTCGGTATCGTCGACAAGAGAAAAGAGATAGTAATAATAATAGATATAATTAGTGAAGTTATTCAGACTAAGAGACAGAAGGAAACGTAACAAGTCAGCTCATTAAGTTTCAAGAATAATATATATCGGTAATAATAATAATAGTAATTATAATATTAATAAGTTTTCAGGAGAGTAAGACGGGAGAGAATGTAAAGAAGTACAACGACGAGTTTAATTGTCTATCCCTGAATGGTATATGCGATTTTAAGGAGATAGGCCATTTGGATGCAGTCCTTGTATCGCTGCATGGTTGTCCAGCCTTCGCTTAAAGGCGTCCAAAGACGGTGCCATAGCTACGTCTGCCGGTAAGGAATTCCAGGGACGGCAAACCCGCATTGAAAAGAAGTGGGAGCGCACCCGGGTCCTTGCCCTCTGGTGAGATATACTTCTGGGATTTCCACGTGGGAGCCTATACCTACTCAATGGCAGAACACCTTTGTTTGGGTGATTCTTGTCATTTGTTATTTTGTAGGCAGTAATAAAATCCCCCCTAAGCCGACTTTTAATTCCTACCAATTACTCCTTATGATCGTGGAAAAGTATGTTCATATTTTTTTAATGTTCGGGTTGTAACGAGTTGAGAAGAATCCTCGAAATAATTAAAAGATGAGCTCATATTATCCTGGTACAATTGTTGTTCTTGCTTTGTTAAAGTAACAAAATAGATAAAACGTGCGACTTCAAAAGTATACATTATCAGTCCTCATTCTAATAAGTAAATTTCATTTTCTTATAAAGACTAAGTACTATTATAAATCACACTACCTCATGCATCTAAACAAAATTTCCGTGATCATTTAAAAGAGATTCAGGGATTAACTGGCTGAAATCAGTATATCATAGAAGTGATCATGGATAAATTTTCAAAATAGCCATGTAATACTCATTAACAAATCCGTCCTACTCACAACCTTTTTCTAATTAATCCACCTGACCTGGACTAAGCTTCAATAATAGAAGTACTGACTGAGAATTAGAAAAATAATAATAAAAGTTGAGACTTTAATAAAGAATTATTAAGGTCAAATAATAGTTTAAAGGTATGATTGTCTTTTTTTTGAAAACTTGACTTGTTATGTGATGAGAAATCCGTTAGGTATGACACGATCAACTTACTGCGTCACTCTAACAAATAGTCCCATTGGTTTTTGTTTTCCTTTCTTCGTTACTAATATATTGTTTTCACATCTTCTATTACACACTATTTTTATATTTCATATCCTGTGGTGCATTGTTTAAAATGTAAATGCAACGCTGTTCTTTTTATTCCTTTTTATTTATCTTTATTTTTGGTTGTTGCTTTTTGATTCTAAATTTTTATAAATTTATGAGGTAATTAGATGCAATATTGTAATGCATGCTGAAAATTCCATATCTGTACCACAAATACTGTTTGGAATAAAGCTATTATTATAAATATTATTTCAATTGCTGTATTGTTTACATATGTGTGGAGTACGTAACAATATGATTGTACACTTTTTGTTACTTGTAGAAATTGGAGACAATGCATATGATTTTTGTTTAAAACGATTCTTGTCAAAAATATACTTAACTTCCGTGTACAAATGGAAATAAACTATACTGTTGGAGTCTTCGCCTTCTTCCTGGCCATTTCTGCTTACTTGCTCCACTCATACCATGTTGTATACTTTGGATTTATTGCAGGAGTCTATTATCCTAATCCGAAGACAACTCTACAACCGGCACACATCTACCAGCAGACGCAATTCCAACAGTGAACGCTCCCGTGGACTATATAAATAATTTGTAGTAGAGGACTTAAACTTTATATCCAAGTAATCACTTTTATTAATATAACTCGTTACTGCATTTTTTTTTGATAATATATTGTTACTCAACCTCTCATTTACTTGGATTATTATTCTCATATTTCTAATGTTAATGAGCTCTCATAACAGTCCCCTACATATGCGTTAGCATTTCTTTCTAAGCACTCATTGCATTTAATACAAATAATTCTTCCAAATTTAAATTTCTGATCTCTGTCCTCGCCGTACTGTTGTCTAGCTTACTGGTATTCTACCCCTGAGGATCACATTTACAAATTAATGTCACATAGACATTAAACATATTTCTTAAAGTATTTATTGCTGTTCTGTAATTGATTAGGAGTAAAGTTCGGTTTTTAATAACTTGGTTTCCTTTAAACCAGTTTAGTGGAGGATGAATACATTTGTCACAAAATCAGCCAATTTCATACAGCTGAGATATTCTTGCTCCTAATATGGTAATGTTACCGACCAGAGTAATACATGTCACTGAATATGAATATTGCAGTAACCATCATATTTTGTGATTTGAATGATTCAGGAATGTATTTAAAGTTTACTACAATTATTTAATTGTAGTGCTAAAGAATGGATGTAATGGATGTAAATATAAACAAATTGTTTTCCTCAGCTTTAGTGCTTCCGTAAGAATCAAAGCTACTTACCCTAACTCCTGATTATTTTCTGACTTTAAACAGTATGATAAATGGAGGTTCAGTAAGGGTGGGGTGTAAAGAACTGTGAATTTGTTTTGAGAAACAATATTTATCATGTGGTAAGCTGCCAAGTCGCGTAATTAGTGAGCATGTTTGCAAACTTCACTTTATCTGAAAGAAGAATATTCTTTTCAATAATTTTCCCTCAGGTTCTTACAATTATAAAATATAATATTTGTTGTCGTTACAATAACGGCCAGTTATGCGGCGGATACATTTTTAACGTAGAATAACAGATTAGTTATGGGGTGTCAAAATAAGTATTCGTATTTCATAATATGGAAATATTTCACACTATCAAATTCACTTTATCTTCCTATAATCACAGACTAATTGATATCGTCGGGCTCACCAATTGTTGTGGTGCTCTATTTGACCAAACTAGCGTACAAGTATACTTCTTCGCGTTTATTATTGTGTCCTAACGTTGTGTTTGCTCGACATCCACAACGTAAATCAAAAGGCACTTGAGAAGGAGTACGAACGTGTATCATCGCAGTAATCAAAATTCAAAGTTGAGCGAGTCTAATGTATCAATTGTTAACACGCAATCTTTAGAGTGATAAACAAATTAAAGTCCAATTACATAGTGAAAGTATACTACGATGATGAGTAATGAAATGGGTCACTACAATATATCATTTGGATATATATTGACTAAATAATACCAGTAGGTTTGTACCTTTTGTAAATCCTCGTTTGCCATCATTCATACATTTTTCTTCTGTGATTCATACTTTTTAATTTTTAGATTAATTTCTGCAAATAATTCAACTGAGATATCTTAATATGTATGGTTTTTCAGTCCCACTAATCTAACTGTACCTTCTTTTGAATCATCCAGCCATCATCTATAGTTCTTTCATTTACAAAATTATTTCCTTCCTTATCACATCACTTCTCTGAATGTAAAATTCTGATGTGCCAGCTCTGTTATACTTATAACCAGATATAAGTAGTATACCATTAAACGAATTCAAAAAAGTAACAGTATGTTTTTAGACACTTAAAAAAGCAGTCAAAGAACGGAACTGTGAGAAGAATGCTAGAAATACTGTGCAGAATCCAACAAGCTGTGGAATATGGTGATAACTGGCCAATTTGCAAATGGTGTGCAAATAAAGCATTGAAGATACGGTAAACCGAACTGATGCACCTACATCGAGTTTCTCCTAATAAACATTCCCTCGAGCCCCAAACCAATTAGAGTTGCAGAAGAGGTTTGTGACACCAGTAAAACTTAGCACTGACACTCTATACAAAGTGCTTAAGGTGAAAGTAATAACAACAACTTTCTTGTTCCAACAACAAGTCACTACATATTGAATTGAATTTTTGATTTTCCCGTCGATTGTTTGGACCGAAGTGTTCGGTCTGGCGTTTGAAACTATGGGCACTAGGTTCGAGCCTCATTGGGAACATCATCACTCAATGAGAAATGCAGGAACATCCAGATGACGAGTCCCAAATAGGACGAAATGCGCATCCTGGATTCTACTGCTAGCCACCATCCACCAATTGTATACTAAGTCACTACGTAGCTGCTTAGTGGCGTATATCTAAGAGATCGAAGACTCGGAATTTCAGCTACTTATCGTAGGCTTTAACACACAGTATCAGCGATTGTCTTATTTCTTCTTCAACGAGTCGATATAGGGCCGAGACACTTATGACATTCTCTTACAAGTTAACAACTAGTTTGGACAACCAGCAGTCCACAACAACATAGTTCATCCACGACTTCGGAACTCTCATGCTATGTCTTCTGAAATGCTCCAACTGATGTAAAATAACAGAGAAGATAGATCAGGGCCTTAGTCATTTCTCGAAATTTCTAACGTTGTGACTATATGTGATCTCTACATATGGTATTATTAGGAGGAGTGATTTAATTTGTAAAGTCATTTCCCAAAAGATGAATAAGAAGTGCTCGGAATCATATGCATCGTGAAATTATGTTTTTCATCAGCGTCACTGAACTGTTATAACAAGTGCG